ACATATAAATATTCAGCTCTGGCAGACTGCTACATATCAAATTTGATGACACACTGATTTTAGGACAGACTTTTTTCTTCTTTGCTGTGGAGCATTTTTTACAGTGTGTCATCATGTTTTTGCCATATCCACAAAATCTCGGTTAAAGGAAGATGACTGTGTTCATTTACTGAGATCCACAGTTTGTATATCATAAATTCTTTTTCTCATATTTTAGACATTTAGATTTAGATTAGTTTATTTATACAGTTGAGTGTGATAGTGAGTAAATACTGATGTTTACAATTATGTTCAATATGTATTTGTTGTGCCTGAAAATGAACAAATAAATGAATGAATGAATGAAATGAATGAATTATACTTTTCACAAAGAGAGTTGAATCAGCAAAATCACAATGTTTATAACTGAAAGACAAACCTCTGGATTTTTGTCCTCCAGCTGGTTCTTCAGTTTCTCTGATGCTTCTTTCACCTCCTGGAGCTGATCGATGATTTCAGTATTCTTCTCTAACTGCAGCTGAAATGTCACATGAAGAAAGAACTGAAGGAAAAAACGTTCATGCTTCAGACACAATAATGAAACACAACACAATGAGTCACATTAAAGCTGTATGATGTAAATTTAAGGGAGCTGATGTTAACAACATTAAGTGTTGTGGGATGATGTCAACAATCTTGCAGTGGTAGGATTTCAAAGTTGTGTTTGGTTAATGACACAGAAACTGCTGCTGGACAAAACTGCAGGAATATAAGTGCACAGGTCTGTGATCATTGGGAGGATGACAGCATCACAGGTGTCCATGTTTACCTCTGTGTGCTGAGAGATGCTTTCACTGACCTCTGAGTCCAGTGTAAGAAATGTCTGCATCTGCTTCTGAATGAATTCAGCCTTCTCTAACTTAGAGTTGATCATCTGTGAGAAAGAAAGACAGACAGATGTTGATGTTTCTGCAGCGCTTTGTTGATAAAAGTGCCAAAACTACTGAAGCTTCACACTGTGAGCAACATGTTTCCAGCAATTGTGTCCCCTTACACAGTCTGATTGGTGTGTTTTTTATTGTACTATTATTATTGTATTGTATTATTATTGTATTATTATTATTACATTGTAGCCACAGCCACCCTGGGGCGCACTGACAGAGTTTGATGTGCTGCGCTGCTGCTCCAGAGGGAGAGAAAGTACTTCCAGGTCAGTTTTTTGTTATTCCCTCATCCTGTAAGCTGTGTTCCTGTTTGCAATCCTTCACGGTGATGCTCCGAATGTTAAGTTAATGTCTGAACGTAAGTTACCTTTAATTTGTTGAGTTGCAAACTCAAGTTTTGCCGCGGCTTTGACTTTCTACCGAGTCATAGCGGCGCAATTTCACGTGGTGATTAAAGGCTTGTGCCACCAACTGCTGCCATAGTGTAGTACTTCCATTCAGCCACACGATGGCGCCATTAATGATGGTTATAGCCGGTGAATGTCTATGTTTGTAGTATGACATCACCACTGTGTTTAATCTGAGTTCTCTGTATATTTGAACCAAGTAATGTAATATTTACATAATTTGAGTTTTTATATATTATGTCATGGACATTATATGCATAGATGGATGTGTAACTTTATATTTTGAGTTTATATTAGTTGAACCACTGTTGCTGTAATATATTTGGTCTAACAATAACTTATTATTTACTACAGACTATTGGCTACACTGAGCTTTGAGGTGACAATAAACCAGCTGACTGTGACAGTTCAGCAATGTGGAAGCCTCGTGTCCTCTTTCCTGTGTTCTGACCAACACACCCTCTTGTTAGCTGCTGAACCTAAAATAACTAGCCCTGACCTATTACTCCTCAATAAAGACAGAGACAGACAACCATCACATCTATGAGCAATTTAGAATCATCTGCTAACCTAACACCACTAACATGTCTTTGGACTGTGGTGGGAATCTGGAGAGAACCCGTGCAGACACGGGGAGAACACGCAAATCCAGTCAAGATGGGGGATTTGAACCCAAGACCTGCTTGCTTCTTGGAAATGGTGTTAACCACCATGCCACAGTACAATGTTTCAGTGTAGGCCTTAGATAACGGACAGTCTGGACTAGTCATTAAACAGCACTGGTTGAACAGTCTCAGCAGTGTCGGCGCTTTGCATTATGGATGAGGAGAGCACAACTTTCTCCTCCAGCATCTCCACTTTCTACTGAGGCAGCATCAAAGTGTGCTGAGCAGCTGTGTCTGCATCTGGTTTTACAGCTTCAGGGCCTCAGAGAGGAGATCACTGCAGAGAAGATCACCAGGACTTCTCCTCCATCCATCCAGGATGTCGAGCACAGATGCTGTCTCAGCAGAGTCCATAACATCATCAGAGACTCCGCCCACCCCCATCATGCACTGTGCTACCTGCTGCCCTCTGGAAAGAGGTTTAGCAGCATCAGGACCAGGACAGCCAGATGTTACAATAGTTTCATTCTCCAACCATCAGCACACCAACCACCCACCCTGACTGCCTCCCCCTCCCCTCTGTCCCCCATGACTGTATATTTACAGCAGTGTCATTTCATGGCTGAACGATGATTGTACACTTTTCTGCTGCTTTTGTTGATGTTCAATATATTTAAGATCCTGCGCAGCTTTTCCTTATTAATTTCCTTACTAATAAACTAAAATATTTCATATTTTTTATTCTCACATGGATCTTTCTTGCATTTTATACCTTTAGACATTCATTTTATTTATTTATTTTTATATTTGATGATGAGTAAATGCACTGGAATTTCATTCTGTTGTGCACTAACTGTTCCGAATGACAATAAACTGGCGATTTCATTTAATTCTGACACATTTCTGTAAGCCAGTCCTTTCTTTGAATTTCAACGTGGATTATAAGTTTGTTTAATATATAGAAACAGTTACTTTTTTAGACATTTGTTACAAAATAAACAAAATAATCTCCTTCATAACTTTACAATACAGAGATAAAGATTCATTTAATGGGGACACACTCACACACATGACAAATATATACCAAATAACAAATACAAACCTCTTCTTTAATGTCCTGCAGATTCTTTTCAACTTTCTCCCTCCTCTTTTGTTCCTCCGGAAGTTCCGACGTCCAAGTTATTGGCCTCTAAGAGATGGCAGACAAACAAAGTACAAATACTTTGTTACTGTACTTCAGTATAATTTTTCAGTATCTTTACGAGATCCTTTTACTTGTACTCACATTTTTAAATAAATATCTGTACTTTTGACTAATTATATTTTCAGAACAGGCTTGTTACTTTTTTTTTTACGCACTGCTGAGGAGTCATTATTTTACATCACTGTGAGCCTTCAAATATCAAACTGATTTGAGCCAGGAGATGACGCATAAAAAGAGATGACATGTGCCAAAGTCAGAGGTTAAAGTGAACCCCTAGTGTGGCATCTCTTCATCTGAGCATCTGCTTTTTCCATGCCACACATTGACCTACTTTGATGGGATTCCCGATCGTGCTTCAGTAAGAAACGTAGTTATATTTGTGCTGTGATTTGCTTGTAGCGGCCGTTATGTTGTTAAACAGCGCTGATGGCAGCAGCTGGTTGCACAACTTGGTACACTCGGCCAGAGAAGGAAAAATCAGTTTGTGTTGGTCACGTGACTCAGAGTTGCTCTCCACACAGTGCTCATTTATAAAGTGCTTTAAAAACCCAAACGTTTGAGTGCAGCTAGACAAAAAACAAACAGCACAAATGTATTCAAATAAACTGATTTTTAGTTTTACTGTAGTTATTTTCCTCTCAGTTCTCGATTCTCTCACTAGTTAGCTAATGTTAGAGAATTGTGGATCAATATGATTGTCATTGTGTAAGATGATTACATCTTTAGGATGAATACTGACTTCTGTTTCCTACACAGACACACACACACCACTGATCACATCACATGCTCATAGAGACACACACATCAGATGTTCTCTGTTGCAGACACACATGACACATGTGTGTGTACAGAATATCTCTACTTTTGTCACCTCTGGTGCCGTTATTAGGATGAAGATTTGTGTCAGTGTGTGGGATTGTCCTCCTAAGGTTTTTCTTGTTAAATGGTGATTATGGGAAGGTGCATTTTGGGGTTTGTTATGGAGTAACACAAAACTAATACAACACAGTGTAATGGATTACTTACTCCAGGTAATAAATAATGTAACACATTACTTTAAAGTGTAAGGTGAATTACAGCATGAGAGCAACACTGGTTAAAGCTACAATCAATAAATCTGCACATATGAGATAAAACACAATGATGCGATAGAAAAACTTGTTTGTCATTGTTGGGTTGTATTTTTAAATCAATATGTTTCTTTTATGTATGAGCACACCTACTGTCTCTGTTGGTGATGTGTGAAGTCCAGGAAAAGCTTGATTATATAAAATAATTTCATCAGTAGCAACATTTTACCAAAACAGAGACTGTTGTGACATTACTGAAGTAGTAATCTAATAATGATGAATGAAATCACACTGATGTTTTCACATTGTTTCTGCTTCATTCCTTTAACATCAATAGAGAGTTCTTTCTACTAACACTTAGTAAATGCTCATAATGCACATAATGTCTGTGTGGTAACCGTGTGCAGTTTTTTTTCTTTTTTCTGTTAAGCATTATTTCAGATAGTTTTATTTTGAAATTAGGATTAATATTTCATTTCATTTCTGAAAAACAATGAACATCTTGATATTTAACTTGTTCGTGTTTATCCACTCACGAATGAAGTCTTATTCCTAGTTTTGGGAGAAGAGCCTCTCAGAGGAACTTCAGCACCTCCCACATCAGTCTGATCCTCTGGGCTTCTGTTGTTCTCTTTTTGAAATTAAAAATAAATGAGAAGGAATGAAAATGAAAACATTGATTTATAGTAGAGGTAGGAAAAATTTATCAGTGACTCACTGTGTTTCTTCATTCTACATAAAAGGACAGCAGCTGATGAAATTAAAAGCATGATGCATAGAGCCAAGCTAACAGCCAAACCGATGGTGACAGAGGGAGAACTGGATGGGATATCAAAGAAATCCTCTGAAATGGTAAAAAAAAACAAAAAAACAAACAAACTAGAAATCTGGACTTCATATGTTCAAAAAGTCTTTATATCATAAATGCAATAATATAAGTTGAACCTGGAACATGTATGTGTGTCTCTCTGTTCTGGCTGATTTTCTTCTGTTGGACTCTGCAGGTGATGTTGTTGCTGTGTCTCTTCTCCACAGTCACTCTGCTGCTGACAGTATAGAGGTCATCAGGACCTCTGAGGGTCTCTGTAGGTCCAGCAGAGAGGAGGTTTCCCTCCCCGTCCAACCACAGCAGCTCAGGCTCTGGATACCAGCCTGCAGACTCACACTGTAACACCACTCCTCCTCTGTTTTTGTCAATCCCTGATAAACTGATGACAGGTGAGGTGGCAGCATCTGATGCTGAGCAAAGAGTTTACAATAAATGTTAGTGGGTGAAAAAACTCCTAATATGGACAGTAATTCACAATCATTAAATTATTAATATTACAAAATTCTGATGCATTTAGCGTGTTCTCTTTTCTGAAGTCTACTTACCAACCACAAGCTTAACAAAAGATTTTTTCTCCATTAAAGGAATGCTGCATTCATATGTTCCTTCATCAGAGAGTTTTACTCTGGAGAGTTTCAGTGAAATGTTTCCACGCTTCAGTTCATTGATGAACAGTGATGATCTTCCCCTGTATGAAGGATTTCTTGTGTTCACCAGATCCTGACCGGATGGACAAGTGGACAAATCTTGGGTTCAAGTCAGATCGTGTCCACTCCAATATCTGAGCTGTCACATCCTCTGCAGGCTCCACGTGACATGGTAAAATAACATCATCATCAACTAATGCAATGACTGGTTGATGTGGACCAACCACCTGAGACTGCGCTGTAGACAGGAGGGGAAACAAAGAACGAAAGAAAAAAAGAAAGATAGATGTGTTTTTTCATTTCTGCAGCAGGTGTGAATGTATATATATATAGTTAAAGATGATACTCAGAGCATTATTTTTCTTTCTCGTTTTAAAAATTTTGATGAAGAAACCTGTTTCACTAAATAATTAAATAAACACTTGCGGGCAGGCAACAAATCATAAAAATCAAACTATTAACTACTGTTTGTACCAAATGTAACATATTTGCACTATTTTATTTATATGCACTGTAATAAAAAATATTACACATGTAAATTCAAACTTACCCCTATTTAAGTGTATCAGAAGTTGGGAAATCAAAATACTGAAGACTTTGGCTGGAGAAAGGGAGAGTCCATCTTTCTGTGGAAGCATCCTCCTCTGAAAATACATCAAAATAAATACAAGTGTGGCCACAAGAGGTCATTAAAATAACTTATTCAAGACTAAAAACATATTTTACATGTTACATGTTTTAATATGTCAAGTACTGTCATGAGGCCTTCAACATGCACTTAGCACTATAACTTTCCATTAACTCCAGAGTTAAGGCACCAGACATTTTGTTACTGATTAAAGTGAACACATTACTTCACATTACTTCACATTAGTGCTAAATTGCAGCCTAGAGAATAACTTTTGGTCAGTGTCATCTTTAGCTTTGAGATGAACTCTGTCTGCTGCTGATTGTTTTGATTGTGTAATGGGCCTCAAAGAAAGCTTAGCTATCAGATAATAAGGTTTCATAAATAGGTACTGTATTGATCCACAAGGGAAATTGGTTTGTTACAGCAGCAGGGTAAAGAATAAAAATAGTGCAATCTGCAATAAACAACAAATAAATACAAAGTGATCGGATCAAAATCTGTGTTTATAGATTACAAGTTCAGAGTTGGATAACCATATCTGATGTTTGCACATGTTCTCCTTTATTTCAAAAGATATCCATAATAAAAGTATTTTAAATTTTATTATTTATTGTTTTCCATCTCATAATTTTCTGCACAGGAACAAACACTGGTCTCACCATAAAATCCATAAAATAGCCGTTTATGAAAAGTTGGAATTACAACTGGTAAACTACAGCCAACAGAGACAGTTTGGTGTGAGTGTAGACTGCAAAGTGAGCTCTCAGCTGCTTGACTGTGCACAGCTGTTGTAAATTAGTTACATATAAAAGATTTACAATGTTTCAATGCCTTCAGTTTTCTTTACACAAACAGAAGAAAAAATACTTGGAAGAATGACTCTGCACAGACCTCTACAGTATACTTTCACTTTCAAAACTTTCTTTTCTGCTTTCAAATGAAATATTTTAAACCGTTGTCATTCGTTTGTAAAATGTTTAATTACATTTACACGGATTTATTTATGTCAGTGAAATAAATTATACTATAATCAGACTTTATAACTAGACATCAGAAAAGCACGTAGAACTTAAAAATAGACAATTTGAAAGAGACTTACTCGTGGAAAGTTGTGTGAGCCTACAAGGGTGACGTTTGAAAATCATTAACCTGCTGGCCTTAACTTTATTAACTCCAGATCCCTCATATATGCTCAGAGTTATGCAAAAAATAAACCGTGTTAATCAAAGTGTAATGCTCGAAAAATCCATTTAACATCCATTGTTGATTCTGGTTAGTTGTACAGTGTGTCAAATGGTGAACTTTGAGCCTGTATAAAATAATCAAGATGAAACCATATCCGTCTTTGCAGTGTTCAAAAAGGGGGAAGAATTCACATGGTAGGTGTTATCTCAGCTATCATAATGAAGGTGGCAGTAGAGGACTAAATGCACACTGATCAGATACTCAGGTTTACCAATGACCAAATGAATCTTTCTGAAGCTTGTATTGAAAAACGGTTCATTACTGAAAGCTTTTCTAAACAGTCCTCTTTGGTGACATCTGTTGACCAAAAATATGAAGAGCAGCTTGCGTCTACAACTTGAAATAACTGCTTCTTTGTGATTGCCCACTCTACAGAGCTGAGTTGCCAGCTTCTGTTTAATTCCATGTGACATTTTTGTGAACTATCAGGGTACTGTTGTGGTGTTTTGAACATGTATTTTTAGGGGTGAAAAAATACATGCTGTGTTTATTTGATTAATAAATCAAAGAGGAGGAGAGGGAGGTCTGGGCCTCTTTGCCTAGGCTGCTGCCCCCACGACTGGGCCTCGGATAAAGCAGATGAAGATGGATGGATGATTTTGATAAATAAATATGTTTAAACATGTGCCGTGCTGTGTTCCCACTTTGCTTGTGACTTTTTTTTCTTTTTGTTAATAGATATTAAAATAAAATACATTGTATTGTATATTATTATATATAGTCTTATAATAGGTTGGGAGTATGCTTATGCCGTGAGGTCTTTGCCTCTGATCATGTCTCTAACCATGTTAATTAACAGGTTTGTTTATATATAATAAAACTTATATGTGTAGTGTATTTTTATGTTTGTTTTAGACCTGTCTTGCATACAGTGCCCTGCAATGATATTTAAGGAATATGCTACTTGTAGTCAACTCTTTTCACATTTGTAAACCTCATTTCAGTTGGGTACATACTTATGGGCTCAAAATGTGGTCATAAATATTTTGTACTTGTAAATCAGGACTTGTATGTGTAAAAAGAATTTGTGTATGTGTAAAAAAGATTTGTGTGTGTGTAAAAAAGATTTGTATGTGTAAAAAAGATTTGTATGTGTAAAAAAGATTTGTATGTGTAAAAAGATTTGTGTGTGTAAAAAAGATTTGTATGTGTAAAAAAGATTTGTGTGCGTAAAAAAGATTTGTATGTGTAAAAAAGATTTGTGTGTGGACTTAGCCAAAAAAACCCTGCAAATTACAACTACGAATTTTGACCCTATTTTTCTTCCCTTCATCTGATTGGTGAATGTCATGTCAATCACAAATGTAACAATCCAATCAGAGAACAGATGGGTTTGGCTGTCGAGGGGCGCTTTTTTTGAACTGCAGGTCCTTGAAGGGAATAAATGCCCTTTTACATGCCAACCCAGCGTTTACCTTCATCACCACGAAGGAAAACAGTCTGTGGTCGTCCGAGTTTAGTGATTTTTGTGTCACAGGTCTACGTGTTTAATACAGGGACTTCCACAGCCTTTTCAACAGCGCTGCGGACACGGGGGGCAGTGTTTTGGAAATGACAGTCTTCATTACAAAGCTTTCTTTGTTATGAATTAGCATACATGTTTTTATTTAACATTTGAAGAACTAGCAAAAAACCCCACAAACTCTTGTACTTCACATAAAGTCAGAGATAAAAACGACAAGGAGCAGGTGCATCTAGTACAGGTAGAGCTGCTGCAAAATCCCACAGAGCCCAGCAGCCAGCGTAACAAATTCTGGATCCTTTGCTTTTAGTTAGCAGTTAGCATTAGCAGCACATCCTGCGTCCGATGTGAAAGGACTTTTACTCACAGCAATGGTCCCGGGTCAGCCCTGACTTTGTGTTAAACTAATCCTAAAGTAATAATGGTATTTCTAACCACTGACATACCACAACTTTATCCTTTCAACAGCTGCTGAAAGTAAGGGGACCTAACTGCTACGGATATTTATATAGAAATTACCCTTCAAGGACCTGCAGTTAAATCCACACACAACTCTTTTTTATGCACGCACAAATCTTCTTTACACATACAAATCTTTTTTACGCACGCACAATTTTTTTTTACACATACAAATCTTTTGTACGCATGCACAAATTTTTTTTACACATACAAATCTTTTTTACAAGTACAAAACTGATTTACAAGTACAAAATATTTATGACCACATTTTGAGCCCATACATACTATGTTACCTTCAACAGCAACTTAAATAGTTGGATGACCTATTGCAGTGTATAAGAGTAATTCTGAATCACATATTTTAATATACCGTATTTCCGGACCATAAGGCACCGGATTATAAGGTGGATTAAGCAAAACAAAACAGTCAGATAAGTCAAACTTTACTAAAGTCATTGTTTTTGCTTCCTTTACTTCTGTACCAATGATTCATTAATGTTGAATTCTCTTGCAGCTGCTCTATTCCCATGTTGTTGCAGTATATTAATGACTAACCTTGTATTGTGGATGGATTATCTCAGTTGTTCTCCTGACTGAAGTTTGGTCCGTTTACAGCATCCTCCCTGCGATCGCATTTGTCCCTGACCATCAGGAAGGGTTCCTGTTAACTTTTATCAAGTGGAAAAAAGTTAGTGTTCATCCTCCAGCTTCACTGTGTTATGCTTTATGTTATGCTAACATAGCTGTGTCACTAGCGATCACATAGCACATCATTATATACCAGCTAGTCCAACTTCAGTAATCGTACAAAAGTCACTGCTGTTTACTTTTCTGTCTTCATTTATGTTGTAAGTGATAGCAAAGCCTGGATGTTAAACTGAATTGTTACACCTGGAAAAGCAGCAACGCTGATCATTTTATTGAAGATGAAAGAATTTGGACAGTTTTTACCTCTCAGTGATGCTTCAGTGTTCGTTTGACTTTGGGACCTGAAATGGACAGAGTTTTGGACCCAGATTACTCAGAGTCTGCCAGGCTCCTGACTATGGTAGCCGTAATGCTCCGACAATCCATCAAGCAGTGTGGCTTTGTAGCTTACCAACGTCCTACTAAAACATTTTTTGACAGATTTTTGAGCGCCATGTACCACATAAAATCAGTTCGAGGTCAGTAAGAACAACCAGAATTCATATACAAGGCGCACCCGATTATAAGGCGCACTGTCGATTTTTG